GGATGCAACATATGCACAGTCATGAAAAAACTCTCAGAATTCTACACTCTCTTTGTTTAGGGAATAATTAGAAGCTCCAAATTCTGCACAGGTTTAATCAGATTTGCAATACTTACACAGAACCTGGGCTGATGTGGGGAAAATCTGTAACTGGGCTTGGGTAGAAGTTTGAAGTCTAACTTTCCCCTTCTGAAGAAATGTAGTCCAGTCAGTGAAAGATGCTTCTGGAGTAAGACTTAAGGCTTTTGAACAAAAAACTTGATGTTTTTAACTAGTCTAAGAAATTCCACACATATTTTCAAAGTTTTTGATGAGCCATAAAACTTGTTCAATAAGATCCATTAGTCTTCTGTGAAGAAGTCAAAAAACAATTAAAAAAAAGAAAAAGCCTGTATCTACTAAATAAAATATTATTCATCCCCTTCTGGTTTTGACCCAAAGCCAAATTAAACTCAAAGTTTTCAAGCTGACTTTTTCTCCAAATGTTTTTATTCAACTTCATTCACTCAAGGGAGGGGAGAAAAGAAGGCTGATCTCATGAGAACAGGAACCCTAGTGGAGCAAGGCTACTCTCTCGTCTGCTATGTGTGGGCATGTGCCCTATTTAGTCTCAGCTTTGGGGACAAGGATAACACAAGGGATCATGAGAGCTTCAGTGCCCACTTCACACAAACAACCAGTGGTCCTTATTTTTAAGGCTCTGGAAGCATCGGTGTTGTCTATGTAGTTACAACCCACAACAGTGCTTCCTTGTGCAGAGCTCAGAACCTTGTTAGTCCTTGTTCCTTTATAATCGCTTTGAGGATGGGAACTTCTTCTCCTTTTTTTCTTTTCTCTTTTTAATTTTCCCAAGAACCCAGGAATGTGGTGTGATTAGTTGCAGTTTGGGGCTTTTTTTGCCCCTACTTGCCCTAATTGGGGCATGCCTTAGATCATTTTCTTCACCAGGTCTTAACAGGCTCCTTTTAAATCCAACCAGTCTCCCTTCCTACTGAATACTGAGCAATCCCTTCTCCAGTACCTGCTCCAAGCATGAGTGTCCCATACATGCCTCTTGCCTCATGCTCTCCCACAGCAAGGCTTTGTATTTTGCAGCATGTGGCCAATGGCCTCTCAGGTGCTCCATGACCCAGGGACACAGCATGGCTGCATCTGGCTGGAGAGTGGCCACGGTGCAGCACTGCACCAAGGGATGTGCTATCAGTGAGGAGCTTGTGCTCAGAGGAGCTCCAGGTGCTAAGATGACCCCCCCTTGCAGGCCCCCTCCATTACACCAGCCCTTCAAATGCCCAGAAAATCAGTGCTTAACTGATACAAATGCATCACTCTTAAATATCTCCAAGGGATAGACATGGTGTTTCAACTAACCTGGCAGCTCTGCAGAGAGGAGACAGATTCTCCTCTCATTTTCTCCAGTGTAAACCCAGGGTAATTTAATTTATCTTCAGGAGAGCATAATTGGACTTAGAGCAGCATAGTAAGCAGCAGGATATGGCCTTCTACCTTTTTTTTTAAAGTGTGGGCACCATACGGATTTAATAAGAAGTGTATGTTAAACTGTCAGATTGTTAGAGTGCTATGTGAGGAAGAAGCACCAGGAGCAAAAGATCTAATGGCTTTTTTGAAAGTGCAGATAGAAAAACTCTTGTTATCGTTCACTGCTGAGCGATAACTTACACCTCTAATTTAGCCTCTGAAATTTCTCAAAGAAAATGTGTCTTCTTTGGATGATTTATATCAAAACAATATTTTCCTAGACCTTTGTGTTTACCACTAAAGAAGAAAAGAAGAGCACATTTTGGTGAGGCAACATCTCTGTTTTCAAGTGTGAAGGAATTATTTTGCAAATATTTGTGAAATGAAGAGAGAAAACCTAGAGTGACTTGTG